GCAGCTTCTCTGCCAGTCGTTGAAGGCAGGAAAATCTGTTTCTTGCCAGCAAGATCCTACCTCCTTAAGAGGCAAACCCACAGGTGTTATTGCTTGCTCAGAGTACACATCCACATGGCCTCATCATTTGCATGCAGCATTTTATCCCAGGCTGCTATTAATGAAAGGCAACAGACTTTCTCAGTGTGTCCAAGGATTCTGTTGTCCTTTCTTGTCCAGTTCTTTTCCTTTAATTATGTGCAGCAGAACCTTAAAACTGTGAGCAGACCTACTCATGCTCGTACCAAATGTTAGCAAGGGCAGCTTTTCATAAAAGCTGTTTAAATTAAGACCATTTTGTGAAAAAAACCCCAAAAACCTGATATAGGTTGCCCTGCCTTCTTGTAATATTGGAAACTTCAAGGTATTTTTAATTCATAAATTACATCTGATGATCTAGTCTAATCCTTGCATAACACATGCCTAATGACTTCATCCAGTAATTGCCGCACTGAGCCTGGATTTCAGTTTGAGGTAGAGCTTATTGACTTAGAAAAATACTTTGCATACATTTAAAGACTTTATGTGATGGAGAACATGCCAGATAACTAAGTAAGTTGTCTCCATGAGTAATTATCCTCCCTGTTGAGTATTTGCACTTAATTTCTAGCCTGAAATCAGTTTCCAACCAGTAGAGCACATCATTCCCTTTTCTTCCAAACAGAAGAGGTACCTGCCCTCAGACAGCACTTCCCTGCCCAGGTAGAAGATTGTGATTACAGACAGAGATCAAGTCACCTCTTCAAATTGCCTCTGATAAATTAATAGCTTGAGCTTCATTAGTCTGACACTATAATAAGACCTGTTTTCCTGCCCTTGAATGACACTGGGAGCTATTGAAAATAATCTTTCCAAGTTGTCAATACCCTTTTTGAAAGACTGACAGTAACCAAATGAACTGAAATAGCATCACTATTGCCAGGTCCTATATCCCAGCTGGCAAGAACATCTCTGGGGCTGATGTTGAACAGATTACTTACTGCACCTTTGCAGCCATTGTATCATTCCAGATATACTTCCCAGGCTTCTCAATTTGGAGGGGGTTTTATCAAGTTTTAATTGCTTTAATGATTATGCTATATCAACTTTTCCATGATTTTGCCTAAGACTGATAGGAAGTTAATGAGCCTATAGTTTTCTGGATCAAACCTCTCATTCTTTTAAATTATTGTGGTTTTGGTGTCATTTGAAGGTTTTTTTATGCTTTCTGGTTCTGAAGAGTCTTAGCCAAGTTTTCCTTCACTTTTGGATTCAGCTAATGATTCTACAAATTTAAAATTATGTTTGGATAGTTGCTGCTTAATATTACCCATAATTACTGATGGAGTAGGAGGAATTACATTTTAATGGGTAATTTGACTCCTTCCTTCTACTGCTTTCAAATACAAAACAAGACTATTTGTTGGGTTTTCAATGTACTGTGAACAATCACTGTGCTGGGCCTGTCTAACATCAGACTTAGCTTTGCTATGATGGTATTTATTAGTATATATGTAAAGCCTTTGGCCTAACCAACCCTAACCTATTTGCCACTGACTTCCCATACTTTTTTTGGCTTCCTTCATTAAACATCTACTTTTCTTCCTTGCTGATTTATCCTCATGAGCCTGCCTAATCACCCATACATTATGTTAGTGGCTTTTTATGCACTCCAGATTACTCTCCTGAATTTTACTATAGGAGGTTGCAGGTAATGCTGGTAATAATTTCCCCTAACCCATCAATTTTAATTATAGCAACGGACCTTCTCTTTTTAAATTAAAATCTTATTGACCACAGCCTATATATACCAGGGTCAATTGCAGCACAGTCCTGCAGCGGGACTGTTCAAGGAGACTCTGGTGGCAGAGATGGCAACAGTTAAAGGGGACCGATGTGAAAGATTCAGGGTTTTACTTTGCTTTACTTTGAATAACACAGATTTTGTGGCTCTGTGGCTGCTGGAAGGAGGTTCATTTTGGCAATGACAAAAAACCCCACCCCAGTCCTGGATCCATGGCTGGCACTGATAGACACATTTGTGGAGACACTGATGGAGTAGCACCAATGTGAGTCCACTGGGGCCTGGCCTGGGGTCTTCTGAAAGTTAAGGGCAAAACCAAACCAGAATTGTATAATTTTTAATGGTTTCACTTCCTCAATAACGTTACATCTGTTGCCGAGTGACAACGCTTACCCTTAAAGAACAGACAGGGAGGGATGAACTCACTGGTAGAGCATTACCATGCATCTGGGCAAGCAAAATCAAAGAGCTTGTGGAGCTTTTTCAAACTCCCCTCCTTGAAGCCTGCATTTCCCTTAACAGAATAAACAGTGGGTGTTCAGGCACAGAAAGCCACACAGATGAAAAAAACCAAGGAACAAAACAGTGCAAAGGATGCCTTCAGCTGCAGCATGCTTTCTGGAGTGAGCAATTCCTTCAGGTTTCTGGTGGAGGACTTCTCATGGTTCGAAGCACTTGGAAAGGCTGCGCTTCTGTCAGGGATTCGTAGTGGGGTCTGATGCTGCAACCTTTCTGGACACAAAAAAAACCAGGCGAGCGTGGCGCCACGGAGAGGAGGAGGCTGCAGGTCTGCACAGGGGAACAGTGTTCTGATGGCAGCACTGCCTTGTCTCAGAGATAATAACTAGTGATCAATGTAACAGCAGCACTGGCCTTTGCAAATTTATCTATCTCCACAGGGCTGATAATGGCTGCTTGATGAAAATAGCATTAGTCTCCCACTCTTTCGCACTGAACTAATGGCTCTGAACATATTTAAATTGACTTCCTTTGCCGGAATAACTTATTTGCTCCCTTTCATGTTGACTTGGTCTTTGGCACTCTCGACATAAATGATTTATTGACTGGAGATAAAGCATTCTTTCCCCTGAACTGTTCCTATGACCCAGGCAAAAGCGGATATGTCTGCTATTAATAAGGTGTTCAGCATAAAAAATGCAATAGACTTGATTGTCTGCACTCAACAGCCTTTCCGAGAACACAGTACCTGCCCCCATTCATAACAACAAAAATCTCTCCCACGTGTTTATTTATGTTAAAAAGTTTTCAGAAGAATATGCTAGGATCCAGATAGTTGTTCAGGAGATGTAGAACAATTCCATAAATATCCCTGAGGAAGCATGGCCTACTTTGGGAGAATAACAGTGATTAAAAAAATCCAAACACAATGAATAGTTAAATACAAGCCAAAAAGTACAGTTATTTCCTTATGGCTCTGGCAGACAGTTACACACATGAGAAGTGTCACGGGGCTGGGGGGAACTATTCTTGCAGTTATCCACATGCATAGGCTGGCTGCAGGATGGAGACCTACACCAGCTTCAAAAAAGATTTGTCCGATAGGCACCTACAGCAGACTTCTCACCGAGTCTGGTACTCATTTTCACATTTTTCAGGGCCTATAACACTGCTTTTCTAGGTCACCATAGCTAAAATCCTGGGAAGCTTTTAAAACAAACTGTTTTAACAGGAGAAGTGCACACATCTAAATTCATGCCCATATATTGGAAGATGTTCAAAACTAACATTGATACAAAAAAAGCTTCTAGTGGCTCTCTGCCTAACGCAACTTCTTCTCATATGCCCTTTTAAGATAACACTCTCTGATAAACTCTTCTTTTATCATTCTAATTATTCTGGATTTTTTCACTGGGTAGTAAAATAAGAGAATTCCTACTGTGGAAGTAAAGCATTCTCCTTTTAATACAACGTATCAATCAAAATGTTTTATTTTTTAATTGCTGTACCAACATGAAATTGATGTCAGTTGCCAGAGTGCATTTTTAAAACCTGTAGCAGAAAGAGCTGTAAAATTTGCTGAAGCTTACAGTGGACCTGTGCCATGTGCATGACTGGCTCTATTGGTATCAGATTCCAACCTGCAACCCTATGAAAAGTTCTAAAAAGTGCAAGTGTCGCTGTTGGCAAAGATTCTCATGTCTTAAGGAGACTTTTTACACCAATTAATTTAAAATTAGGGACCAGGATTTTCAGAAGTCATTAGTGATTTCTAATGGTTTGGGTCTTTCCATGGGTTCTTAAATGGAGCTCCCAAGAATTACAAAGCAGTAAACTTCTACATTCTCTTTCTGAAAATCCTGGTCATCAGTAAAAATAATTTTCTTTTGGACTGAATACTGTAGCAGTATCCAACATGCTGAATCTGAGATGGGTGGAGAGCTGAAACCTAAGCCCATAACCATCTGAAAAAAATTAAACCCTGAAGATAATTATCTGTTTGTTGTACAGGCACCCTCAGTGGTTGACCTTCCATTCTCTAGCAATGAACTGCACAACAGTTTTTAAGAATTTTAACACAGGAGCTTCCTCTAGAAAGTTGCCTTTGATTCACTCTAGCTGGACACTCTCTCCATCACTGCATCTTCACACCAGTATTGTGTCTCACCCAATTTGGAATAAATGCTAACAGCAACTGTATAGTACCTGTCTATCAGGCTGGAGAGAGTGACAGTCTTTAAATAAAGCTACTTTTGATTTCAAAGAAAGAAGGAACAAATAGGTAAGCCCCTCAGTATGTTGATGACATCAGTTCATTATAAAGAGTGTGTCAAGAAGGTCCTGATGTGAGGGACAGACATTAATTCAACTGAGTCCCCATTGAAGAAACAGTACCACAGCCAGCTGTGATACAACCAGTGATGAGGCCAGCCATTCAGAGACTGAACAAAAAACAATGTTCAGATTGAATGCAACAGTCTTGAGCCTGCTACAGTATATTGAAAGGCTTATTGGAACCATTTGCTTATTCCCAGTTCCTACCAAAATACTGTTTTGGATAGAAAGTGGAAAAAGTTAATGAAGAAGTCTGCCCTCTCCAAAGGGAGTGTCTTGCTCCTCAGAAGTATAATCTTACACTTTACCTTTTTCAGAGAGTTTGGTTTGGACTATGATTCCCCAGCCCTGCCCAAAACATAAATGGTAGCCAGCATAAAGAACCTGAATTCTTCCAGTTTATTCTAGTTTTACTCTAGACCAAACCCAGGGTCACACACACTTCTGAGAAAGGCTCTCTCCCTTGCCTCTCCCTCTCTGAGTAAGAAAACACATTGGCACACTAGAAATGAGAACCTTTGATATTTGGTGGATGAGAGGGAGAGCAGACACAGCGTCCTACAGCTCATTCAACCTACCCTGTTCTTGGCTACCTCTGTGACAGCTGTTCTCTAAGTCTTGATAAAAGAAGTCACATCTCTGCCACGTGCAAATCTATCTACACAATCTAATGTGAATTGGTGAAGGGATGATAGTAGTGGGCTTCAGTTTGGATGCAGTCTCAGCACAAATACTGAAACATATCCTCAGTATTTTAAAAAAAGACCATTTTATATATATATGGACTGTGCTAGTTCTGTGAGGAAAGCACATATGAAGTGCTGATATTGTTTAACAGAATACCATTAGACTGCAAAACTAACACATACAAGACGTTTACATTCCTATCAGGGTGTAATATTGTGAACATATCCACTGAGATTGGAGAATTGCTGTTTTTCCTAAAACATCATGCCATCTGCATACATAATAAAAGAATCCAGTAGTTGCCATGCTAAAACAGGACTTCTAGTGAAGGGCATAGACAGTCCCCTAAAGGGAACTCAAAAGTTATGCACAGTGATGAAAACTGGAAGAAATTTTCCAGCTAAAGGTCTGTAAATGACCATTTTCAACAAATTAGCACTGGATATTTTGCACCACGTTTTTACTCCACAGCAAACCAGGTCTTCCCAGAATGCATCATCTGAGTCTGCTGATTTTACTTCAAGTTTGTCTTCAATCCTCCACGGTCATTTTCTGGCAGCGCCATTTATTGTGGTTTTTTCATGAAGGAAAGTTCACTTTCATATCAAGTGGCAGGACAGCAGCTTTAGAGGCTGGAAATGTTTATGGAGAGCTCTCTGCTGGGGCTGTAAGAAACAAAAGAGGAATTCAAAACCAGACAGTGAGTATAGAACATTATCATGTATTTCACCTAAAATTAAAAAAGTCAGGTTTGAGCTCAGTAAATGTACTCCTAGAATATATACTGTGACCCTAGTACTTTTTTTTAATCAACTTTACTCACCAACCAAAAAACTCAGTGCTTAATCAATTTTTTAGATAAATATAAAGTGCAGACCAGCAATCATTTGCATGATTTAACAAATCCTACTTGAATTTTATTGCCTCATGTGAAAGCACTGCTTACTCTTCCTGTAGTCCAAGTCCCAGAGAGCAGGCTCTTCTGTTTGGTTGGATTTGCATTAACTACTGAAGGCTTGATAGCCAAATGCTAGAAAGGCTCTGTCAAATGCCCAAGTAGGATTTAATATTCCCTGACCATTTCTGCTGGCCAGGATGGTGAGAATTGGCCATTGGTGTGTACAAGACGTGAAAACAACTCCCTCATATCCTTCCTCCCTTCAGAACCCATAAGATAATGAGGGGGGTTGCAGAGAGTTTCTTTGTTCTCTGCTAAAAGCAGTTCAGTACATTCAATGTTGGTGGCTGCTATTCCATGCTGAAAGCCCTTGCAAAGGTGTAACATGATCACACCATAAAGGAAGAGAATGTGGAGGTTACTTGTAATTTCTCCTCCTCTTCACCCAAACTTTTCTTTGAGGAGTACAGCAAAAGGACAAGGGACATAAGATGCAACAAGAGAGATTCCAGTCAGATGCAAGGAAAAAATCTTCCTAGTAAGAGTGGTTAAATTTTGGAACGAGTTACCTGACCAGGCTGTGGGACCTCCACCTATGGAGATATTTGCAACTCAACCAGATGAGGCCCCACACAACCTAACGTGGCCCTGCTCTGAGGACAGTTGACTGAAACCATCTCCTGAAGCCTCTCCCAACCTAAATATTTTTATGATTGTACATTTTTTCTGATGGGGATTTGTGCTCCCCGTTCTGCCTCTCTGAACAGGAGACAAGTGCCCATGCAGGACTGCTCAGGCTGAAGCACATTCAGTTGTTTATTCACTCCGTAGCACGTAAATGCATGTAAACCCATCACAGGCTCAGGCCTCTGGGGCCAAGGAGCCATGCAGAGACAAGTTCACTGTGTTATTTCATAGAATCATGGAATCATTTATGTTGGAAAAGACCTTCACAATTATCGAGTCCAACCCTTAACCCAGCACTGCCAAGTCCACCAGTAAAATGTTCTGGGATGCAGCTTTGTTTCTTACACAGCCCTCGCCCATTGCCAGTTTCATGGGCCCCATCTCTGACCAGGGCAGTGCTGGGATGGGACTCACCAGGGTGGGTTTTTGCACCCTTTCCAGCTGATATCTTGCTTCTTTCATGAAAGTATATGTCTGTATCTGTGGGAAGAGCTGGTTTTTGGGACAGATTCCAAATTGTGAAGCTAATGGGATACTGATGCTGCCAAGGCAGCATTCACGTCAGCTGAAACTCAGGCTGGCAGTGGATTTCTGCTTCTCACTCCTTCAAAGTCATGCCTGGTGGGCTCTTCTCTGTGTAGTGTGGGCTGACTGGCTCTGCCAAGCTGTCACTTTGCCCATATTTGCCTCTCCCAACCCCAAACTCTTGTAGCAGTGGACATGAAGGTCTGATCAAGGAGGCAAAGGATGGGATGATAAATCAGTAGGTGTTGCATAAGACCAAAAAAACCCACCCACACCCTGCCATGAACACTTGACCCCTCAGTGTAAATATGCCCTATGAAATAGAGGAGCAATAACAACCAGTCTGCTCAGTTATTTCCCTCCTTATGTAGGCATATTTACCTGATTACAGTGCTATTCTTCATTTCTGTTTTTATAGCTGCCTTGCTTTTATTCTCCAGGTTCTCTAGGGCAATGTTCCCACCATCACCTACTGCCACCTTCTACATGAGATACCCATGTCAGTAGGTATCTGAGAAAAACTCACATTTGGGACCAAGCAATGATTTAATTCCGTGGAATAAAGCGAAGGTTTTGAGCCTTCAGCTGCTCTAGACAGATAACTGACTGTGTCCTTCAGGACAGAAAAGAAAGTAATGGTGACATTAAGCAGGTTTGAAGGTAAAGGGAAAATCTGTGGGGAGGTTTTAAACTTGGAGAGAAGCAAACTGGTACCTCAGCTCAAATTTGTTTGATTCCAGGTGAACTACAGGATGTCTCCTATCTATGTAGCATCAACAGAGACCCGTCTCACAAAGGAGAAACAGGACTTTTTTTGAGCTCATCTGCTGCAAAGAAGGGAAAATTTGAAAAGCTCTCCCAAGCAATGGAAAATACCTTGCCTAGCCACAGAGTTGCAAGACTAAAATAAAATGGGTGAACTGGCTCATTATATCAGGTCAGGCCTCAGGATTGCACTCACGCTGAAATTCTCCAATCATCCACATTGTCTCAGCCATCAGCTTGTACTTGTACTTAAGTTTGAAATGAGTCAGCTGGCCCTTCAGATAGAAACTCATGAATGAGGAGAAATGGGACGATCCCAACCTGAGCTCTGTCCACACTGCAGAGGGAGCACAACCACTTTGAGCCGTGCAGGACACATAGCAGAGGTGTCTGGATACAACTGGCAACACTGAGCAAGGGAATAGTGGCAATTCTGTCAGGCTCTTTATTTAGAGCAAGCAAACTGAGGATTTAGTGGTCATCTATCCTGTTTCTACTCCTTTCACTTTGTCTTTTGAGGACAGCATTTTAGAAGCACTTATTCTTCCTCATTACCTATATAATTTTGGGTGCCCAGCTGGACACTCCTCTAAGGACTCCAATCTTCTAACAGTACATATCCAGCTCTTTCTGAAAGTAAGATCTTTATAAAAGGTATCACAAATGAGCAGTTGTCTTTGAAAACCTTGCCTGAGCTCTTGGAACAAAGACCGCCCTTTGCAGGGGGTTTGTACGCTTACCAACACAACGGAGTACAGATCTAATCTCACATGACATTTTCAAGAAGCTGCTGTAGAAAGACAACAATAATTTCAAAGCCAGAGATGTATTTTAGTGTTTGAGTACCTGTACTGTGTGATTTTTGTCTAACTGAGAAAGGGACATATTTTACATTCATTTTAAACATATGTTAATTCAAGTCAACCTAGAGGTATTACCTATTTGTCACATTTTCATAATTGAGGGATTCTGATAAAGAAAACAAGTGTCTATTATCTTTGCTAGGTTTATTCTCCTGAAACTAATTTTATACTATATTTCTAAAGTCAGCACATTTCAAACATGGGATTATAATGAAAAATGCCTACTTCCAAACATCCATCTACCAACTATTCCTTGGAGTCTGTGAAAAACTGCATTCACAGCTACATTTAGTAGTATTTTTCCTGTGTTAGAAAGGCCACAGGTATCTCATTTCATGTGTCTCCTGTCACTTAAGACATTATAATATGCTGTACATTACTGCAGACTTGCTGCATCTTGCTATTTCCTAATTAGAGTTCACAGAATCATCGAGGGGTTGGGGTTGGAAGGGACCTTAAAGATCGTCTAGTTCCAAACCCCCTTCTGTGGGCAGGGAATTCGAATATTCCACTAGACCAGGTTACTCAGAGTGCCATCCAGCCTGGCCTTGAACACTTCCAGGGATGGGGGAGCCACAACTTTGGGCAATCTGTTCCAGTGTCTCACCACCCTTATAGTATAGAACTTCTTCCTAATATGTGACTTAAACCTGCCCTTTACAGCTTAAGGCCATTCCCCTTTGTCCTGTCACTACATGACCCCGTGAAAAGTCCCTTTCCAGCATCACCATAGGCCCCCTTTGAGGTACTGGAAGGTGTTATAAGGTCTCCCTAGAGCCTTCTCTTTTCCAGGCTGAACAGCCCAACTCAGCTTGTCTTCACAGGAGAGGTGTTTCAGCCCTGTGATCAACTTAATGGCCCTCCTCTGGACTCATTCCAACAGGTCCAGGTCTTTCTTGTACTGGGGACTCCAGAGCTGGACACAATACTCCAGGTTGTGTCTGTGTCCCGCTGTGGGGCCCCCAACAGATACTGCTACCTTTGAAGAATTTTGTACACTGATAAAAGAAAATGCCTGGCAGCCCATTTGTAGATTTACCCTTTTCTTTATTGTGCATTGAATTATTATCACTGAGGTATGAGAGCATGAGATGTCTCTCTGAGACTTATGGAAGTTACTGTAAAAGCAAAATCCCTGCTTGGGGAACTGATCCCAATCAGTCACCATGGTGATTAGCAGCAGCTGGGAAGTGCTGCCATGGGGCAGCCTTGGCAAGGCCATGAACCATTTACCCCAGGTCAGATGAGACTGAAACTGTACCAGCGTTTGGTTTCACTCTATCACTAAACCTTCCCATTACTGTTCTGGGTGGAGAATAGCACCAGTTCTTTTAACCTGAAGGTAAATGCAGCTATTGCTGCACATCCTTATTACCCAACAAGGTCACTGATAACCAGAGTCAACAATGCCAGAGATCCAAGGTTACCTCAAACTATTGCAGGCATGTAGCTGGAGCCAGCACAGAGAAGCCTGCTCCATCCACCTCCAGCCGCCTCCTCCCATCGGAGCAGCTCCGTCCTGTACCGGCACCAAGTCAGGCCTCAGGGCTGCACAGAGACAGTAAACTGCTTCCCTGCACGTGTCACAGCCCAGCAGCCCATGTTAAGCGGTGACACATTAATCAGTGGACTGAATGCAACACCCAGCAGCCAAGAGAGAATACAGAGCTGTGGATGGTTTTTGATAAGACCGTCAATTTTGTTTTGATTCCCAACCAGTCATGTCTTGGTCTGACTTGCCTGATTTTCCCCTCATTATTAAGAACAGGTAGCTGACACAGTCTTGAAGGTTATTTAATGTTGTTTGTCAAATGCAGTTGTCAATACGGTGGAAAAATACCAAGGGGGAAAGGAAGGAAGTCTCTTCTTACTTTGATTTTTTAATTTGATTGCCAAGCAGGAAACCAAGATTTTGGTTTTGGAGTAG